TCCCTCTTTTTCTTCCTTTCTTCCCTCTCTCCTTCCTTTCCTTCCTTTCTTCCTTCACTCCCTCCCATCCTTTCTTCCCTCCCTCCTCCTTTTCCTTCCTTTCTTCCCTCTCTTCCTCCTTTCCTTCCTCCCTCCCTCTTTTTCTTCCTTTCTTTCCTTCCTTTCTTTCTTCCCTCCCTCCTTCCTTCCTCCTTCCCTTTCTTCCTTTCTATTCCCCTCCATTGTCATTTGTCAGTTCCACCCAATTATCCAACTAACACTTCAAATTTCACATATACAAAACTGAATCCATCACCTACCCCACTTAATCCATTCCTCTTCCTGATTTCTCTAATGTTGGCAACGGTACCACCATCCTCCAAGTTATTCAGGCTACGAACATGTGAGTAGCCTTTGGCCTCTTCGCTTTTGTTCTTCACGTTAAATCCATCACCAAGTCTTATAATTTTATCTCCTCAGTATCAAATATGTCTCCTCCACCACACTTCCAAAGTCATTAGTCTAGTTCAGACCTTCATCACACGTCACCTTGACCTCTCTAATTGCCTTCTAATTGGGCTCCAATCCATTCTCCACCCAGATGCCAAAGCAATCTTTCTAAGGCTCCATTTTATCCTGTTACTCCCCTACGTGACAATTTTCAGCAACTGCCCATGCCTCTCTAATAAAGTTTAAACTCCTCAGCCTCACACTCAAGTCTGATCCAACCCCAACCTACCTCTGACTAGTATCTTCTCCTTCTATCTCCATCTGTCAAAAGCCTGACTACCCTTCAATGACTCATTCAAATGCCACCTCCACCATGAAGACTTTGCTGATTTCCTAGACCAAGAAGGGATCTCTCCCTGTTCTGAATTCTTACAGTATTTTGTTCCTATATCTCTTATCACACTGTCTTGTATTACATTAGTTTATGTATATATCTCATATAATATCCTGGAAGGCAGGAATTGAGTTTAATTCACCTATTTATTATGCCCCCACTAGGCCAACCATGGGGCTTCTGTTTAATGAATATTTGATGAATGATTGAAAAGATGAATATCTGTCCAGACTTCCTTGGGCACCCCTGATCTGCTGCCCAGGCTCCCCACTAGTCACTGTATCCCTATTTCCCATTATACCCTGAGCACTTCCTGCTCTTCTCCCATTGGGCCAGCCCATCTATCCCAACCTTGCACTTGTTTCTTCCCCACCCTGTACTCATCTTTCCACTTCCCTTGTAGGTCCCCCTCACCGTGAGTTGCTTGGTAGCCACCCCACTCTCCAGGGCAGCCCGGTTCATGGCACGCAGGGTCTCAAAGTCAGGGGCCTCAATGAAAACCACATATGGGACAAACTCAGCAGTTCTTAGCACCTTCACTGCCTGAGGAGATAGGGGGTTGTATTCAGAATTATCTCCTTAATCTTTATTTCCCTCCCCAATATCATATCTCTCACCCCAGGGGGATCTCTATAGCACCTTCACACTCCAGGGTTCAGATGAAATATGAATGATCTTCAGCTGCTTTGGTAAAGAGAGAGTAGACAAGGGTTTCAAATGAGGGTTTCCAGGGATGGGCAGAGGGTGTTCTATAAGGTTACAGAAGGTTCCTGAAGCATAGGGTCTTGCTTATGGTCAGGAAAGCATTAGAAGCATATGAAGTCAGGTGCAGTAAGGTGGCACAGTGGACAGAGCACCAGCCCTGGAGTCAGGAGGACCTAGGTTTAAATCCAGCCTCAGACACTTACTGGCTATGTGACCCTGGGCAAATCACTTAACCCCAATTGCCTCAAAAAAAAAGCACGTGAAGTCAGAGTAGAGTTTGCTCCTAGGAAAGGGAGATGTAGGTATCTCTGAGTATCCTTTAGGAAAAGAAGGTAAGAGAGGAAGAGTCATGGGAAGGGTTTAAGGGAATGGGGGAGGATGACCTAGGATTAGTAATAGAAGGGATAAGGTGGGTCATAGATCATACATTGAGCACAAACATACATAGAATTGTAGGTTAAGGACAAAAAAGATCTTAGAAGTACCTAGTCCAATTTTCTCATTTTACAGATTAGGAAACCGAGGCTCAGAGGTACTAAGTGATTTATCTAAGGTCACAGAGGTAGGAAAGTAGTCAGGCTGGAATTCAAACCCAGGGTCCCCAGGGATGGCAGTATTATGTAGAGTTAAAGAAAGTTCCAGGGGATCAGGTGTTACCTATGGTTGAGAAAAGGCTCTATGGTGGATAATACAGTGTTATATAGTGTCAGAGAGGGTCCTTGAGGATTGTGCTACTGCCTGGGATTAGGAAGGGCCCCTTTGGGGATTGGGATGTGGCCTGCAGTCAGGGAGGCAGCCAGCCTGGAGTGGAGGGCAGGTGGTAGCTTACCTGCGGATTGACATCCAACACGCACACCTTGCCAGCACTGAGCACATTTCGAATGGAATCGATTCGCGTGCCATATAGGTTCCCTTCATATTCCCCATGCTCCAGGTAGCGGCCAGCACGGATGTCAGCCTCCATCTCTGCTCGCGTCACAAAGCTATAGCCCTGGCCTTCCCGCTCAGTGTCCTTAGGCCGACGAGATGTGTCTGGCAGGCAGGGAGAGTGAGAAACACACATGAACATACACTGAAGCAGCTAGATGGCATAGTACATGGGATGCTGAGATTGGGATTGGGAAGACCTGAGTTCAAATCCTAGCTCAGACACTTACTAGCTGTGTGACCCTAAACAAGTCACTTAACTGCTCTCAGCCTTAGTTTCCCCATCTGCAAAATGGGGAAGGCCCAACCTGCACTGGTAGTATAATCTCTCTATGGTCCCCACTCTCTAACTAGGGATGCTCAGGACCCCAGAGGAAGTAATACATTGTTGTTGTTCAGTCGTTTCTGACTCTTCATGGCCCCATCTGAGGTTTTCTTGGCAAAGATACTGGAGTGGTTTGCCATGAGGAAACTCAGGCAAACAGAGTTAAGTGACCTGCCCAAGGTCACACAACTTAGGAAGTGTCTGAAGCCGGATTTGAATTCAGGTTTTCCTGACTCCAGGCTGGGTGCTCTATCCACTTTGCCACCTAGCTGCCCCTAAGGAATACCTAGGCTGCCCCTAAATGCTGGTTAGATTGGATTGAACTGGGGCAGCTAGGTGGCGCAGCGGATAGAGCATCAACCCCGGAGTCAGGAGGATCTGAGTTCAAATGCAACCTCAGACACTTACTAGCTGTGTGACTCTGCGCAAGTCACTTAACCTGATTGCCCCAAGGGAAAAAAAAAAAGAAAGAAAGAAAAAAAGATTGGATTGAACTTAATCTCTTAGAAACAGTGTCCAATTCAATCAGCACTTCATAATATCATAGAATTAGAGCTAGAAGGAAGGTTAGAGGCGATCAAATCCAACCCATTCATATTACAGATGAGCAACCTGAAGCACAGAGAGGTTAAATAACTTTCCTAGGGTCACACAACTAGCTAGCCCAATCAATAAAATCACAGGTCCAGACCTTGTCCCTAACATGACCTTCATTTGCATTAACAAAAGTCTAATGTCTCAAATGAGGAAGGTCCTAGCTCCTCCATCCTGGCCAGACCCCATTCAGAATATTATATTCAGCTCATTTTCGGAGGGACGCTGTCTTCTGAGGAGAGCAATGTGGATGTTGAGAAGGCTGCTGATTAGGAAGCACAGGTGTTTAATTTGGACAAGGGGAGACTTAGGGAAGACATGAGAGCTATTTTTAAATACCTGAAGACAGCACATGGAAGAGCAAACAGACTGAGTCTGCTTGCCCTCAGAAGGGCCCAAGGGTAGAAGTTATAAGGAGATAGGTTTGGGTCAATACCAGGAAAGAGAACTTCCTAAAGGGTAAAGGTCAGGGTTAGGTGACCTCTGAGGTCCATTCTGACTGGAGACCGTCTTGTCTCCTAAGCTAGACCACTGGTTCCTTGAGGCAGCCTGGTGCTTTATCCACGGGGCCTGGAGTGAGGAAGATGAGTTCAAATCTAGCCTCAGACACTTCCTAGCTATGTGACCTTGGCAAGTCACTTAACCACTGTCTGCCTTGGTTTCCCTATTTGTAAAATGGTGATAATAATAGTATCTACCTCCCAGGGTTGTTGTGAGGACAAAGTGAGATGTTTGTAAAGCACTTTGCAAACCTTAAAGTGCTATGTGAATACTTGCTATTATTATTATTGAGGGGAGGGGAAGGACTAAGAAGGTTCCATCTCAGTATACCTCCTAGATCGGGGTGGAGAAGCCTCCAGGTCACAGGTTCCCCATCCCTGAGTTCTAGATCAATGGTGGGCAGCAGTCCCCAACCTGATGGTGCAGTGCCCCTTGTTCACCAGCAGAGGGTGCTCACTCACCAATCAGGCAGAACAGCAGTTAAAAAGGATTTAACATTTCATAGCCTCTTCTAAATCCATAGCATTTAGAGCTAGAATGGGCTTTGTAGATCATGAACCCCAACTCTGTCATTTTACAGATGAGTAAACTGAGGCCCAGGGAGGGGAAGTGACTGGCCCTTGGTCACACAGATAACATGTAGCAAAGTAGCATTCAGTCCCAGACGTATCTGACTTCAGGTCTTCCTAGTATGATGATGAGATATTATTATTACTACTTATATATAAATTCCATATGTGTATATATATATATGTATATACATATACATATATATATATATACATATACATATACATATATTACATATTATGTGTAGATGCACGATATATGTGATACATCATATATAAATATCTTGTTTGTATTGTATATAATTATTATGTGCCGCTAGGTGGCGCCATAGTGCACAGAATGCCAGGCCTGGAGTCAGGAAGACTCATCTTCCTGAGTTCAAATCTGGCCTCAGACACTTACTCGTTGTGTGACCCTAGGCAAGTCACTTAACCCTAATTGCTTCAGTTTCCTCATCTGTGAAATGATCTGGAGAAGGAAATGGAAAACCACTCCAGTATCTTTGCCAAGACAACCCTAAGCGGGGGTCACAAAGATTTGGACACGACTGAAAAACAACTCAGAAAATGTATATTATATATCATTATAAATATATAAACAAATAATAAAATCATAAATTAAAAACTCATTACATTATATATTGTATTCTATATGAAATATATATTATATATATAAATATATACATTATATCTTTACATAGTGATTTCAGGTTTTTTAACCACTTTACCAATACTATCTGATTTTATCCTCTCAGCTAGGTGGGAAAACTGAAGCAGATAGAGGTTAAGCAATTTGCCAGGGATCACACAGCTAATAAATGTCTGAGGGCAGATTTTAACTTGGTTTTTCCTGACTCCAGGCCCAGCTCTATCTACCGCACCAACTTGCTGCCACTAATGGACTACCTCACTTTCCATCCATTAATCAATGTGACCATAAATCCACACTGACGTCTCCCCGCACCCTCTCAGCGGCTCCAGCTGCCTCTCTCTCCTCTCCTTTGTTCCCCCACATTTACTTTCCCTCCAGGGCTCTATTCTCTAAGTAGGGTTATTGAGGGCCCTGGAGGCAGGTATATCGAGGCTGGCCCTAAATGCTGGTTAGGTTAGATCGACTTAGATCCCTCAAACACAGTTTGTTGTTGTTCAGTCGTTTTTCAGTTGTATCTGACTCTTTGTGACCCCATTTGGGGTTTTCTTGGCAAAGATACTGGAGCGGTTTGCCATTTCCTTCTCCAGCTCATTTTACATATGAGGAAACTGATGCAAACAGGGTTAAGTGACTTGCCCAGGGTCACACAGCTACTAAGTGTCTGAGGCCAGATTTGAACTCAAGAAGATGAGAATTCCTAACTCTGAGGCCCAGCACTCCATCCACAGCACCACCTAGCTGCCCCTGTCCAACACAATGTCCACTATAATTCAACCAACATTTCATAAGATCAGAGAATTAGAGTTAGAAAGAACTTTAGACAATCAAGACCAACCCCTTCATTTTACAGATGAAGAAACCGAGGCCCCAAAAAGGCTAAGTGACTTGCCCAGGGTCATACGGCTAGTGTCTAAGGTGAGATTTGAACCTGTGTTCCTGATGTCAGGTCCAGCTTTCTACCTACTATTCCACACTGCCACTTCCCACACCTTCTATAGACAAGATACTGATCTGGGTGCTAAGAAGAAACAAAGATAAACCAATGCCCCTGGGACTAATACTGAGCCTAGTTCTCAGCCTGGTGGCCTTTCTTGGGGTATAGTGCCCACCGCAGGGTCAACTCACAGGGCACAGTGGTGCCATAGCGGTCTTGGTCCCACATAATAAGCTTGTTCTTCAGGCTACGTCGCCCCACACCCTGTGCCCCAATCAGCACCAGGGTTTTCCGGCGGAAGGGGGGCATCCGGGCCACTTCCTCATAGATCAGAAGTTCATGCCGATCGAACTCTGTGGGCATAGAGGCAAGTGTACCACCCATCAGGCCAGCATGGGTACAGCAGGGCAAAAGGGAGAAGTGGGCAGGGTCATGGAGGAATATTCAAGGAGATGGATGCAATGCCCATGGGTGGTGTCTAGGGGTCCAGCGGTCATGTGTCTGGGGGTAGGAAGTGCCTAGGAGGGAGACCTGAGGTTAGTGGCCAGGGGCAAGATAAACACGGTCTAACACTAAGGAATACAGTTTCCATGCAGCACCAAGGGAGAGAACGCTGGGGCTAAGGTACAGGAAAAGATGGGCAGTGCCCAGGCATGAGGGCACCTACCTGCATTCTTGGTAGTGAGATACATCATTCTCTTCTTCTTCTTGCCTGAAATGCTGCCACATAGGGCACCTGACAATGAGGAGAGTAGAGACAGGTAAACTTGGAAGTGCTCTCGTCACACCCCAAAGCTGGCAAGACTTACCCAAAAAGTGCTTACCTGAGGCTGGTGTCATCTCCAAGTCCCTCTTGACAAAGGCCTTCCGTTTCTCTTCCAGCAGCTGGCTAGGGATAAGCCCAGCACTGCCCCCCTCTACGTGGCATGCCTGAAACACCCACCCATGCCCACCAGGCTTAAGAACTTTGGTATCTCCCCTGCTCCCCTTCACTGTCCCTCCCGTCTCACCGGCTTCTGATACCCTCCCTCAGGAAGAGACCAGCCTTAGTGGGGATGTTTGTGCTTCCTCCTTTCCTGCCAGCTGTACCACCCCACTTGCTCAACTGGATTAAGGTGGACCAGCAGAGGGCTGATGGGGGGAGGGGGGATTTGAAGCATCCCTGGGGCAGAGGGCCTGGCTTCCATGGGGCAACAAGCACTGATGTGGGCAGTGCCCTGAGGGCACTCACTTGCCACCAGTTAGCATCATCCTGGTTAACAATCTGGAGCAGGTCCCCAGCACAAAAGCGTAAACCAGCCTCCTTGCAGGGGATCAGGCTGTCCCGGGCTGGCTCATAGTCAAAGTGACATTTGACAAACACCTGGGGGGTAGGGAGGGGAGAGAAGGACACATGAATCAAGGATCATGGTAGGCATAGTGTCAACAGGGGCACTCAGGAGTGGGATGGAAGGGAAAGGATAGGTGCCTCTCCCCCTATCTCAAGGGTACCCAGGACCTGAGTAAGGTGCCACTCCCTAGCCTCTAAAGTCCTAGAGAGAAGGTGGGGGGGGAATGAGAGTACACACAGACAGGCACACTCATACACACCAGCCCTTGCCCCTTTAAGGGGGGACGTCACTGTCTCTGCCATCCACTGCCAGGCTCCTTTCACTGCCCAGAACAAAGGGCGGTGGATTAGTTCTGTCTTTGTCCCTCCCACTTATGGGCAGGGTTATTCCTTCTCATCTCCTTCTAGATACTCTAGTGGGAGAAGGAGAGGTTGATGCCCACACCAAGACGGGTCCCTCATTCTCTGCCCTCTCCTGCTCACTGGGCTTGGGTTGTAATAAAGCACTTTCTAAATACTAACCCCACTGGCTGCTGGGAGACAGCCAGGCCTGGAGAGTTTCTATCTGATGGAAAAGGAAGGCCCTGGCTGCTTATGCTTAATGCCAGAAGGAGAAACATTCCACTCAGGCTTATATGTATATATGCCACACACAAAAACACACATGCATATGTACAAGGACATACATGTATCTGCAAATATACAAGGGGCAAGTAGGTGGCACAGTGGATGGAGTGCTGGGCCTTAGATTCAGGAAGACTCCTCTTCCTGAGTTCAAATCTGGCCTCAGACACTTATTAACTGTGTGATCCTGTGCAAGTCACTTAAACCTGTTTGCCTCAGTTTGCTCATCTGTAAAATGAGTTGGAGAAGGAAATGGAAAACCACTCTAGTAAATTTGCCAAGAAAACTCCAAAAGAGGTTCTGAAGAGTTGGACAGTACTGAAATTACCAAACAAGTATGCAAAGTGTGTATATAGGTGTTCACATACATACAAGGATGCACACACATACAAGGGCACACATATATGTACAAGGATGCACATGCCTGTACAAGAAATGTGTTGTGTACGTGGGTGTGCATGCATGTATAAGAATGCACATATGTACAAAGATGCACACATATGTATAAGAATGCACACACATATACAATTTTGTAGAAGATAACTGACATTCTTGTGTCAGTTTCAGGTTTGCAAAGTGCTTTACATTCATGACCTCATTTGATGCCCAACAATAGCCCTAAGAAGTTGGTACTATTTGTATTACCTCCATTGTACATATGAGGAAACTGAGACTTAGAGAGGATGACTGGCTGTGGTCACCTGACCAGGAAGCTCTGGGTCAGAGGAGGGTTTTGAACCCAGTCCTCTCCTGACTCCAAATCCAGCATTCTTTCCTCTACATCACATTTGCCTCTGCATATGCATGCATACCCATGCCACCTACATATCTGTGCAAGTATGAATATATACATGTTACATGGATAGGATCTGTGCAGAAATCCTAGTCTCCTGCCATGAGCAGATATGGGTATACACCATACAAACCCCTGCAGCCAGAACATTCACATAGGCTTGCATACACAGATCATACCTCACCTCCAAAACACACACATATTGGGGAAGGGAAAAGGGTCCACATGAAGCGCCCTTCAGAACAGCCAACCATGTGGGGGGCAATCAGATGTAGAGGTAAAGATACCAGGGTCCAGGGAGGGAGAAAGGGGGATGGGCACAGGCGCCAACCCAATGCCCACCTGTCGAGGCAGGTGAGGCTCCTGGTAACTGGGCAGGATCTTGAGGATGACGCTACCACTGGCACTTCTGAGTAACTCCTGCAGCCCCCGGGGGTCACTGCCCACAGGCTGCCCATTCACCTCCTTGATGACATCACCCACGTGCAGCAGGCCCTGCTGGGCCACCATGCCCCCGTGCAGGATGCGGGCAATCACCAGCTCTCCACCCTCCACTCGGAATGTCACACCCTGGGCAAAGCAGGAAGAGGAGGAGGGTGGGTCAAGGGGCAGGTTTAAGTCTGTGTACCCTGCTGTCTAAATACCCTGGCCTTCTCTCTAGAACTGTCACTCCTTCCCTGACCCCACCTCCTGCTCAACTCTCAGGAGACTGGGTATGGTGTGCTCCCCACCCTGGCTCAACCCTAAGGCCCAGGCCCTCAGCTCCCCAGCAGGGCTTCTTCAAACACCTCCCCCTCTTCCTCATCTTCCTCTTCTTCCTCCTCCTCCTCTTCCTCCCCTCTCACCATTCCCCTGGTCTAGAAGCCAAGGTTAAGAACATCACCATCCCCCCTTCCCTTATTCCTTCCTCCTACTGATCAGCCTAGATGAAGCAATTAATAAGGCAGCACTAACTGGGAGAAGGGGAAAATTATTATTATTATTAATAGTAATAATAACAATAAATAATGGAGTCTATAAAGTCCTTCAAGGTTTGTAAGCATTTTAAACTATCTCTTTTGCTCCTTAAGGCTCAGCTCAGATTGGGCCCCCTCCTAAATGAGGCCCTTGGGATCCCCACAGCTGCTGGCGCTTCCTCCACCCCCAAAGTTACCCTTGCATATAATTATTTTATATCTCCTTATATGCATCCTTTTTCTCTCCCATTAAAGAATACAAACTCTTTGAGGGAAGGGAGTGTTTTACTTTCATCTATGTTGAGTGTATCCCCAGTGCCTGGCACATAGTGGGTGCTTAACCAATATTTGTTGAGTAATTCATCTTTACAACAAGTACACAGATGTTATTGTCCCCATTTTACAGATGGTGTAACTGAGGCTTGGAAAGGTCAAGTGCCTTGTTCATAACCCCACAACTGGGCATCGTCAGAGGTAGGATTGGGACCCAGGTCTGGTCCTCTTTCCATTATATCACACTGGTTTCTTCCTGCCTCTCCTTACTTGCTGGCCAAGGGCTCTGGAGCATACATGGGTTCCCAGGTCCCTCTCCCCAACTGGCTCTACCTCTCCAACTTTCCCAAAGCCCTTCACAATCCCTCCTTTGGTCTGCTCTGCAATCTCACCCTGGGCATGGTGTGGGTATGCCCTCCCCAGTACCCACGGCTCTCCTCGATGGCCCTTCACCCTCTTTCTTTTACCTCCTACCCCAGCGCCCTCACCAGGTGCTCTCCTGCGGTCTTTCGGATGCCCACCATTCGTACAGCATCTGGAGGGACAGGCTGGTTGTTGAACATGGGGTCCAGGCCAGGGCTGGGAGGTGGCGTCTCATAGCTTTTTGATGCCACGGAGTCATGCGTCTCCAAGAGGGACTAGGGAAACAGAGCAGTCAAAAAACAGCAGTGCTCAGCTTTCCCCTGCCCCAGAGGGCTTCCCATCAGTCCCCAGCTGCCCTCTCCCTGCCCATCCTCCCAATCAATACCTCTCTCCCAGGTCTCCCTCATTTGAGTCATACTCTCCTTATCCAACCTTCTCTCCTCCATCCAATTCCTTTTCTTTAGAATCCTGCCAGATCCCCCGGGGGATACCTGCCAGGATCCTGACCTGATCACCTCCATCTGAGCTGATCCTATTAACAAATCTCTACCCAAACCCCAAAGCCTATCAAACTTCCCTTCCCAGGTCCCTGTCCTTCCTACCTAGAGACTCCTTTCATTCAACCAGATCCAACCACCTTCTCAGCCCAACCCTTCAGCCAGGGCTCCATTCCCCGCCCCCAGCGCAACATTCCACCAGCTGCTATGCCAAGCACACCTAGAAGCGCTTGGCTGAAATTCTTTGGCACAGAAAGTGATCTGCCCCTAAAAAGATGGTAACCCGGGCTTTCATCGGTGTGAGGGGTTCAAGGTATGGAGAAGCTTTGAGGTTTTTCCTAAAACTCTTCTAGAAAGCCCCTTTGCCCACCCGTCAGATATTCCCCACGCTCCTGTCCTGGCCGAGGACCCCCCACCTGGAAGTGTGGCTCCTGGAGAATACAGGCCAGTTCAGCGGCCGTGCTGCTCTGCTCAGCCAGCTCGGCCAGGTCCCGAAGGATCTCCTGAACCAGCTCCAGGTTATTGTCCCTAACAGCCTCCAGTTTGGTCTCTTCCAAGCGTTCGTGGGCCTGGTGGGAGGGAGGAGGAGAGGAAGAGCCTGGGTTATCTTCTACCCCCACCCCACCACAGGCCCCTCGTGACATTAAAGACCCTTACAGGGATCCCCTCCTTGGCACCTCTCGCTTGGCAGTTGGAACACCGCCCCCCAAGTCACCTAGTACCAATTAACAGTCTGGTTGGCAGAGCCCACCTACCCCCACGCACACACTTAGACGTTCATATACCCACATTCAATCACCTACACAAACTCACATATGCACACTCATCCTTTTCCCCTCACTCTGACTAGCAATTTCTTTTCTTAGCTGACACCCAAATCAAGACAAGGAGAATCTAGTGGTCCATTCAATTCCAAAGTAGTTCTGTGTCTTTGGGTTATTCTCATGAAGCTTTGGACATCCATGTAGAAGTCTTAAAATTTTATAAACCATGCCCCTGTCCCTTCCCCATTCCGGGTATCTCAACTGATTATTTTGAATTGATTGCAGAAAATTGTATAATATGGTGGTCTAAGCCTGATTTCTGCCAGACTGCTTTCCATTTTCCCAGCAATTTTTTTAATCAGTTAGGGACTTTTTCCTTAGTACGTTGCATTTTTGGATTTATCAAATGCTAGATTATTCTGATTGTCCCTTGTCTAATCTGTTTCATTGTATAGTAGAGATCACAGCTGACATTTATAAAGGGTTCTGTGATCTGTAAAGTGCTCTATGCACATCTGTGAGCAAAGATGAGGGTCACAACAACCCTTTGAAAGAGGTACTACAGATATTTTTATCTCTGTTTTACAGATGAGGAGATGGAGGCTCAGGGAGTATAAGTGGCTTGCGTATGCTCACCTGGATAAAAAGCATCAGATTCCCAGCTGCCACTATCCATTACATCACACTACCTCTCAAATAAACACCTAGGAGAACAAGCTAGGAGACTGGGGAAAATCCAATAACATTTCCACCCCGGAAGAAGCAGGCATTAGGAGGAGGTCAATCTCCCACCGATCATTGTAGGACTCCATTATTTGACCCAACACTATTATTTCTCTTTCTTTCTTTTTTTTTTTTTTTTTAGCTAGGCAATGGGGTTAAGTGACTTGCCCAGGGTCACACAGCTAGTGCATGTTATGCGTCTGAGGGCAGATTTGAACTCAGGTCCTCCAGACTCCAGGGCCAGTGCTCTATCCACTGTGCCACCTAGCTGCCCCCCAACACTACTATTTCATCTAACCTAGAGGCAGCTATGTGGTACAGTGGCTAGAGCACTGGGCCTGGAATTGGGAAGACTAGAATTCCAGTCTGACCTCAGGTACTTACTAGCTGTGTGACCCTGGGCAAGTCACTTAACTTGACTGCTTTGTTTCCTCAACTGTTATTTTTCAGTTGTGTCTAACTCTCTGTGACTTCATTTGGGATTTTCTTGGCAAAGATACTGGAGGAAATGGTTTGCCATTTCCTTCTCCAGCTTATTTTACAGATGAGGAAACAGAGGCAAATAGGGTTAAGTGACTTTCCCAGGGTCACATAGCTAGTGATTTACCATTTCCTTCTCCAGCTTATTTTACAGATGAGGAAACTAATGCAAACATGGTTGAGTGACTTACCTAGGGTCACATAGCTAGGAAGTATGACTAAAATTCTTCTGTAACAAAGCATCTGTCAGAATTCTTTACAGTACAGAGCAGTATGACTGGAAGACTGCCTAGAATGCAAGTCTGGAAACTTTACTAAATGGGGTTTTTTTCTTCCTTTCCTTTTTTTTAAGTTTATTTTTGCTCCCTGATACTCTGGCAGCTCTGATCTGTGAGAAAGCATAGCATGATTTTTTTTTTAAGCATCAAGAAAGATTCAGAAAGTCTGGATTCTGGTCCTGACTTAGACCAGAATTAGCATAAGCATATGACCAAAGTGGATTAATTCACCCCCTCTGACCTCAGTTTTTATATCTGTAAATGGAGATCTCTATTACTGTGGGTATTCACTGTCTACATCCTAGGGTGATATCTTTCCAAGTGCTCTAAACCTGTAGGAAGGATTAATTATATCATCCTCTGATAGGATGGATAGGGAGTGGACCTGTGATTTTATTGATATACAGAACCCCAGGTGATTCCCTCTCCCAATATAGATGGACACCTTCTCTGTACCTTGTAGTCTAAGAGTTACCCAGAATAGATGGATGAAAGAGGGGATAGAGACCTGGCCTCAGATCGAGGGAGACCTGACTTTCAATCTCACCTCAGACACTTACTAGCTGTATGACTCTGGTCGAGTCACTTAACTTGTCTGGGCCTCCGTTTCCCCATCTATAAAATGGAGATATATTTTACATCGTAGGGTTCTGTAAGTATCAATTGAACGAAAATTATAGAAGGGGCAACTAGGTGGCACAGTGGATAGAGCACTGGCCCTGGAGTCAGAAGGACCTGAGTTCAAATCTGCCCTCAGACACTATCTGTGTATGTTGAACAAGTCATCTAACCCCACTTGCCTCGAGAAAGAAAGAAAGAAAGAAAGAAAGAAAGAAAGAAAGAAAGAAA